GAATTTCTCAGCAATAGAAAGGTACTGCACAACAGAAACACTAAAAGATGTGAATGATATTTAGATCAAAGTCATGCAGATTCATGACTGTGGTCTAAACCTATTTTTTATTTATATGTAGTCCTAACTAGGTAGCATTAAATACTGATAGGGGTCTTTCATTTCAGATTTTACATTTTGAAATTGAAAAAAAGTCACAAACCAAGTAGCTTTTTCCTCTTCCTCACAGTTATACACCACCTTATATCAGTCTGTAAAAAAGGAAGGCTAGAATACTATTTCCAGGAATTATTAAAGGTGTTGTATTAACATTGAACAAATTTTTATGTATACCTTGTCATTAAAAGTCAGATATTGTAACCATTTCTTTTTCTGCCACCGGTTTTGAGCAAAAATAAATACAGTGCAGCTTCATTTATAATTGTTATGGTGGTGAAAAAAAACAACAACACACAAGTGATTTTTACATTTCCTGAAACTGGACAGATTTTATTATTGGTCTACAAGAAATATCTGGAAAAACAGATCCATTAACTCAAAGATTGTAATATGTGTCTAAATTAATTTACAATCAAAAAAACAAAAATTTATCTATTTGAAATGCCAACATACACCACTTTATTTTAGCAGCACACTCAGGAAATGGGGTACAGAAGGTGTACATGAGAAAAAAAAAGCTTGGGTACTTAGAAAAAAAAGCAGTGACAGTAAGGATAGAAAACTTTTTCTTTTCTTTGCTGACTCTGGAGTTTAGAAAACAGTGTAGTGCTACAGCTTTCACGTGCCAACTGAGAAAAAAACGCTTCATACCATTTCCTAAACACACCACTCAAAGCCATGGGTCTAAGAATCATCGTTTTACAGTAGCTCAGCAACACATTCGGTTAAAGAGCATTTGGAATCTAGACAACCAAGATGTTTACATTAAATTACAGCAACCACCTATAAAATTCAACCAGTGGAAGAGCGGCTGCACCGCTGGGTGTTTCTGTGCGCTACAGTTCCAGGAGACAGTCCGTGCCAGCATAGTCTGGGATGTTAAGCTCATACTTTTTCTGAATGTCATAGGGCAGGAAGCGTCCAGCCAAGAAATGCTTTCCAGAGAAGTTTTGGGCACACTTCTTTGGTGCCATAAGCGAGATGAGAACTTCTGGGTTTATCCCATCCTGACTTGGTTCATCTGCATTCCAGCCTGGAAGAGAGAAAAGGGGAGATTTGTATGAATATTTTTCGACCGGTGCTGAAGTTGAACGAACTCAGACTAAACGGACTGCAGAGCAGTATTTATCCTCCATGGCTGACACCACACCTGGAAAGTTCCTTTCTGGAGGCCAGGGCTCCAGGGAAGGTGCTGTATAGCCTGTTTATCCTGCTCTGTCGCCCTAAAGTCAGATAGATTAAAAACTCACCTGAGGGCACATCCACACTGACAATTGGAATCTTGATCTGCTTCAGGGTGACCAAAATCCCAGAATATGGCTCCTTAATATTGGATGAGTCTGTCTCAAGGCCCAGCATGGCATCGATCACAATGTTGTAGGCATCATTTATAAGCTGCACCTGAACAAAGCAAAAAAAGAAGGTCTTAGTGCATCCAGAAACAGTGCATCCCAAACAGACCATTTAATATAGCCGCTAGATAGGATGTTTGTTTGAAATGAACACACATGCTCCTGCAGGAGAAGTAAGATATGATCATGGAGCCATATTCCATCACCTCTCAGAGACTTTTCCTATCACTGTATTTTCTTCACGTTTGTATTTGGATGCACGTGTGATTAAATAGCAGGCAATGATCAAAACTTGTTTTTAGAATTTAGAAAGTTTTTATCTAACAAGTTAGCAGATCCCCTTAGCTATGCTTTCCAGCTGAGATCACTTTACTGAGAAATGTTTCTATCAACGCAAATCGGATAGAACTCTTTTACCTGCTTCTTACTTCAAGCTGTAAGGTTTATGGAATCTGAGGTTTGACTCAGCCCAATTTGTTCACAATCTAAACTTTCATCTGTCCTGGTGGTTTCACTGTTTCCTTTAACTCCCTTTGTTATAAGTCCTGGTACATTTTATAACAGTGAGCTCTATGCTTCACACATGGTAACATTTCTCTGAGTTTAATTTCTCTCAGAAATGTCCTTGATAACGTTGTCCAGCGGATTTAACAATAAATGTTTTTCAGATTCATCGGCTCAAAATTCATTCCAAACTTTTCTTTTAACTTTCTTTTTGGCAAACAGTGTGGCCTTCGTCTTTTTTTCAGAGAAACCAAAGGCTTCTTCGTTGCGTACCTCCACTGAAAGTTGAATAATATCTTTCTGATTATATTTTTTACAGCCATGCATTTCCTCATTAACAGCAACAAGAACCAGCTGACAGCCAATAGTGATTTTTCATGTTCTTTAGGGATCTTGCAGTCTGCTCTCATGTACTGAGATGGCCAGATCTGAGCATGTTACCACTTGTTTTACATGGGCCCACTCAATTTTTATACAGTATACTGTTTAATTTAACATATCTGTAGATTACTTAAAAGACCACATCAGAGACATAAGCTGCCTTCTTCTTCCTGAAGGTGTCAGCAGTCAGGAGCAGCCTAAACAAATTAACCCTAATCAAATTAAAATGCTGGTACCAACATCACAGCTGGCCCTGATCTGGGCTCTCAAACCCTTTAGGGCCTTTCTTCAATTCTTTACATTTGGTTATTCAGGATGAGCATGAGTTAGTCCAAGCAACAGTCTTTGTTCTTTGATGGTTGTAGCAGCATACAACAGCTAAAGCCTAATGCTGTAAGTTTAATCTTTTCTTTGTGTGAAATTATTATAGATTCTGCCAAATGGTCTTGGGGCCCTGCACTGAATGCTGAATGCTCAGAGCCCCCTGCACTGAATGCTGAATGCTCAGAGCTCCCTGCACTGAATGCTGAATGCTCAGAGCCCTCTGCACTGACTGCTGAATGCTCATAGCCCCCTGCACTGAATGCTGAATGCTCCGAGCCCCCTGCACTGACTGCTGAATGCTCAGAGCTCCCTGCACTGACTGCTGAATGCTCAGAGCTCTCTGCACTGACTGCTGAATGCTCAGAGCTCCCTGCACTGANACTGACTGCTGAATGCTCAGAGCTCCCTGCACTGACTGCTGAATGCTCAGAGCTCTCTGCACTGACTGCTGAATGCTCAGAGCTCCCTGCACTGAATGCTGAATGCTCAGAGCTCCCTGCACTGAATGCTGAATGCTCAGAGCCCCCTGCACTGACTGCTGAATGCTCATAGCCCCCTGCACTAAATGCTGAATGCTCAGAGCCCCCTGCACTGACTGCTGAATGCTCATAGCCCCCTGCACTGACTGCTGAATGCTCAGAGCTCCCTGCACTGAATGCTGAATGCTCAGAGCCCCCTGCACTGACTGCTGAATGCTCATAGCCCCCTGCACTGAATGCTGAATGCTCAGAGCCCCCTGCATCGCATGCTGTTAGTGGTGATGAAGAGGGGAGCCAAGCCATATTCAGCTTAAGGTACCACACAAGCTTGAGCAAATCCAGATGAACGTCTAGTGTCCTCTCATGTCATATTTTTAAACAGTAGCGACTATTCAATATTTCCCCACTTTCCTTGATGAGTCCTTGGCTGGTCCCCTACAATTCCTTTTTAAACATCAACCTTTGTACTAAAATATTCTTTCTCTCATTTTTTGTGGACATTAAGATAAAGAAAAGTGTTATCTCCTCATCAGACATTGTAATTAAATGAGAGGGGGGAGTCAAGTAAAAAAAATATGCAGGGCCAGGAGAAGGCCAGTTGCTGGAAGTTGGAGTGGATTTGCTAGGAGTCGCAGGGAAGTGGGCTGCCATTTGGCTGGCATTGACTGGAAAGGGCCATTTTGAATGGCTGCTACTGTAAATCATGTTGTGGACATGAACATAAATCTCTATGCTGGTTGATTTCTTGCCATGATTCTTTTTTTTTATCTCTTTATCTATTTCTTTTGGTAGATATAAATCTCAATTTAAAAGTATCCAGTAAAACTCACAGGCCCTACATAGCCCCCCTATTATCCCAAATGAAACTGAAAAACATTTACTTTCAGTTTAGCATTGTGAGGCTTTAGCCAGTGGCTAAATAGTTTATCATAAAATTGCTGAGGGTAATGAGACAGTCAGGGTGAAGGAGGGGCATTCTTAAGTCTTATTTGTTTTAAGAGACACTTGGCAGCGACAAGTTTTCAAAAAACATTTTCAAAACATCTTCTTAATCTATGTGAGCAATCTAAAAGATCAGATATCAAAAGTGGAGATTTGTGTTGCAGGGATTTTTTACATAAAAAACCTTTATATTCACATGATGGCTTTAAAAGGAGGAGAAGCCTCAATCATCTTTAGTAGGGATGTGGAAAATGCTTCAAATCTAACCGGGAGGGATTTCTCCATGCTATAAGAGAGCAGCACCATCTTCTTCTAAAATAACCTAAAGTCTCAAATTATTTTAAAAAATGCGATATTAACCAGTCATCTACTTTAAAGAGACTTCAGAATAGGAACACTCATTGAATAAAGAGATGAGGATTTTTGGTAAACAGCAGTTAGAGGCTGTGCAATATAATTTCAGACTAATTTAAGGAAATAATTTAACAATTATCGGTCTCCGCCAAGTGACGTCAATTGTTTACCTCGGGCGCGGTACACTA